CAACCTGACTTCTGAAGACAGTCAGACTTGATAGCTTTTACACACATTTCCTTTCATGAGCATTTTCACATTCATATAGAAGAAGTGGGAAAACTCATTTGCTTTGGGAAAATGTCCAGTCAATGACCAGGTTGCAGCTAAATCCTCGAAGACCCAGACTTGAAGAAAGACTAAGATCACAAAACAAAACATAAAGTCCTTCACACTATCAGCATTTGGCCCACCCATCAAACTTCATACCTTCCCTTCTTCTTTTACTTGCAGCTTCCTTCACTGTGTGCAATGGCTGCATACCCAAATCAACAATTAAATTCCCCCTTTGTTTGTGTGGCAGATGACAAATGCATGGAAGACATCTTGTGTTGCCTAGGCAGGCAGGGCACTTACTTTGATTGATGCTTCGTTGTGGGAAAAAATGAGCTGGGAAGGAATTACAATGGAGGGCCTGCAGACTGGAAGGGGATATACTAATTAGTCCTGCATTAAGCAGTCTGCTTGCATTTGGCGATGAGACGCCTTCAGGAGGGAAGTGTAGAGGTTATTGATGCAAAACAGCATGGAATGCTGTTAAGCCAGGTAGCTGTATATTAGTTTTGTTAGGAAATATAGGAATTTGTAATTTAGAAAAAAAATTAAGTTACCATATTATTATATTTTAACATTCCCCAAGTATATTGGGTAGCTCATGCTTCTTAACTTCACATGATCTTACAGACAGTCTAAAATCCTTCTCTCTTTTTGAAATAACTCTTCCTCAGCTTTTTCACTCTGGGAAAGGTGCTAGGAAGGGAAAGCTGCCCCTATACCTGTATTCTATGATTCCTTTTTTCTGAAACTTTGCAGCTCCAGAGCCTTGAGCTTTGCTAGAGGAGTACAACATTGCAAGGAGAAAAAGGGAGTTTTTCCCAGTGCACTCTATGATTTTAGAGAGTTGTTGCTGAAATGACCCATGAAGCAGCCTTGGAATAGCTCAAGACAAATTCGGCAACTTCTATAGACAAGAGGCTGCATTATATGGGAATAAAAAGAAATGCAAAGCATGTATGTTGGTTTGGCTTAGCATTCTATTTTTTTGGACAGAGGTAGAGTGGTATCTGGTTGTGCTGAAACCTCTCTCATAATTCAACAGTAACACAGTTTCTAGGCAATTGGAGTGGGTGACTCTAGGGAGATGACTGATCATCTCGAGGTCAGTACCTTGTGAGCATTAGAGAGCTGGAGGGATGGAGAGGTAAAGATGTCCAAATGATTACTACTGAGAGTGGTTTAAAATTCTAACCTTGAAATGTTAGTTTGGTCAATTTGGCCTGAAGAATCAATGAAATTGGGTCTATAGAAAAGAAATCACAGAGGTCTTCAGTTCTTTGCACACAAGTGTGAAAGAAGGGGCCCTACAACTCCCTTGGTTTTAGAATCCTCGTATCCTGTCACTAACCCACCATGTTGTTCTTGATAATGTGCTTCTTAGTGAGTCTTTATGTTGAAATCCATGGACTATCAGGCATCTCATGTTAATCTAGTGAGAAATCTGATGGTTCGAAGCTCTTGGTTCAGTTTATCAGAGTTGTCAAATCCTGGTGCCGTTGAGAGTCCCTTTTACTTTTCTTATTTTAGAGACAAGTTCATTATGGATTTACTAGGCTAGGAAAACAGAGACAAATGATAAGTATAGTACTTTCAGTTATCAAAGATTTTTGAGCCTTTAAACATTTTTTATTCATCAACTGAAACATAAAGACAGACATCAACATATCAGAAATATTATCAGATGACTAAGGCCTGTCTTTCATGGTTGGAACCAGGAATTGTGCCAATAGCTCTAGGAAGAAAAGCTAAATAGTTAATGGGGTTTATTTTTTAACCACTCCTTTGTTTTAGAATTCTATCTTATTCTTGAACTGAGTCTATGTCACCATGACCTTCTCCTGCCAAGAAGGCACAGTGGAGGCATCCTTCAGTAACAGCCTAGGGCGTTGGACAGGCAAGATGCTGTGCTGGCTCTTTGCCTTTTCTTCCAGTGTTTACATAACCAAGACTTATTACATGCTCTGTCATTTTGTTACTGGGCTGGCTTTGGTTTGAGAATTAGGTAAACATTAGATATTCCATCACACAATTTTAGACTCAATCTTACTTTAAAATGATGTTAATGTTTATTGTACAAAGCAAGATGCATTTGTATATTTCAGCATTTTATTTCAGTCACAGAATGCAAAATCTGACATTGGAATCAGTTTGATTTTTGTGTGTGTGTGATTGAAGATATTAAGCACTACAAGAACGTTGAAATTTCAATCTGATTAGGATCAAAATTCTTCAGGATCAAAACACTCCTTTTCCTCCCCCTACAGTTTTACTAATTGTGTGCTACTTGACATTGTGGAGTTATTCCACAGCATGATAGCTAAATATGTGAAGTGTATTTTACTGCGCAGAATTATCAGTTCATTCTATTTGTTTTTCATGTGTTTAAGGTTATTAAAAGAACTCTAAATTAGAAGTCATGTGTATGAGTTAAAAGAGTGAACTCAATCATTATTGGTAGGCTAAATCATAAAGCAATAGCCAGTATGTCAATATGAAGTAATGAAAAAAATCACAGAATTTGAAAGCATACCTTCTCTGTTTATTAGTTGGCAAGACACCAGAAAAATTAGGAGAACAGCACAATAGTGAATGGCAGAGTAGTTTATTTTCAGCACTTCCAAATTATTGCTACCGAAAATGAGATAAAAGCAGATAGGAAAGAATGGCATCAAACATATTTGTTGGAGACCTTTGCTTTATGGGAAGAAATGAACTGCCCTAGCTCACTGTTCCTGAGGAATTGTGTTTCTTCAAGCTGTAAATCAAATCCGAGGGAGATAGCATGACGTTTTCTAAATAGTAACTGAGGATGACATAGTTCCTTTTTTTAAGTTTTTTTTTTTTTTTTGTCAGCATCAGGTTCTGAATTTAGTCTTTAATAGAGATTCTGAAATAAGAATGCATCCACCTCTCCCCATACACATGTCTATGATAGTGTTCTAAAAAATACCTATTAAGTTTTTTTTTCTATTTGAGAGGTTTTTGCTATAGGGCACATGTGCTCTCCAGAAAGATAGAGAAAGCGAGAAATCACCCCCCAGGGAGAATGGCCACGCCGCAATCCTTTCTCCTCCATTCTGCTCTTGGGATCTTGGGCATGCAAGCACACACGCTGGACCTGAGTTTAAGTCACCTGGTCCAGGACTTAAACCGCCGTCAACTACATGGGAGTCCAGCGGCATAGCCATTATGTTAACTGCTGGTCCTGAGTTTTCCTATTAAGTTTTAAAGTCTGGATCTCTGACCTATATTGTTTCAAAAATATAGCCATGGCTTCCTCCAAAGATCCTGGTTTTTCTCCATTTTCTGAGAATTCCCAGCACCAAAGAACCTGATGACTCTTTTCAGGAGGCAGGATTGTTATTATTATTTTGCAGTTAATTGAAGAGCCATCTGCCTCTGCAATACATAATACCTATTCTCTCCTAGCAACCTCCTTCCTACACAGTCTACCAGATCGGCACTCTTGCAGGTCCCTTCCATGTACACTGGAAACAGCCCAGAGGTGTTCGAAGGAAAACTGCCCAGTGATGTGGGTGTGAGAGTTATTGCTTGGACTCAGCCAGAACACTACCAGTCCTGCTCTGCTCCGACGTGTTCCCTAAATCCCTGATGTACAATATTGACTCATACTCAGTGTTAAGAATAAACTCTGCTGGAGAGCAGCCTTGCAGGCAGGCTCTTCCTAGAGATCTGGTTTACACAGAATTTGACACCACATTTTGTCCATGTCAGTGCCGCTAATGCAGGTTAAAATCATAATACCAGTTGCTCATACTTCGAGATGTTGGCTAGCTTACTCTCTCTTATGCTTTTGAAGATCTGAGTGTGAAATGAGGAAACAACTGCAAAGAGCAGGACAGATCTGAGATAGCTTAACCTAGACAACGAAAGGGAGAGGAGGTAGATGCAATGGCCAATGGCTGGTTTTACTACAATAGTGTCGCACTCAAGCTGTAGCATTTCATTTGTGGCACCATGCATGTATTTAAAATCAAAGGTCAGAACTGGCTTTAGAACCTTCTAAATATAGCTGGTAGGGCCCTCATCATTCAGGAGGAATCTACTGATGGTCATAATAGGGCCTCTGGGCAGAAAGGGCACCTCCTTCCTACACAGTCTACCAGACCAGCACTCTTGCCAGGTCCCTTCCATGTACACTGGAAACAGCCCAGAGGTGTTTGAAGGAAAACTGCCCAGTGATGTGGGTGTGTGAGTTATTGCTTGGACTCAGCCAGAACACTGCCGGTCCTGCTCTGCTTACAAGCCACATTAGGTACCTTGGAGTTCAGCCTGTAGGTCAGGAGCTGGAAGCTGTCCTCAAAGAGCTGAGATTAGTTTCTCTCTCCCAAGGGTTGGGGATGAAGGTACACATTCCTCTGAATAACCTTCCTTCCAGAAATACATTGAAAAGATACTGCCTTGAGAGCTGCTCTGTTCACAAAATATGCTCTGTCCCTATCCCCCTGGGCTCTCTCCTCACCCCAGTTTGTGGCTAGTCAAGTAGGCATTTTTATGAGGCTCCAGTTTACTTGAACTTGTCTTTTCTCACATATACTTTGAAACGGAGACTGCAAATTTCAGAGTGGAAGTCGCTCTCTAGAAAATGAAAGGGTCAAAGAAGCACTTAAGACAAAGGATTCCCACCCTTTCACAGGAGAGGTAGCACAAGTGACCATGAAATTCTGGACGAGCCCCTAAAGATCCAGCAATTTCTCTGGGCCTGAGGTCCAACTCTCAAACTAATTCCAACACACGTTGAAATGATTTATGTCTCACTTTTTCTCACCGCACGCTGACAGTTGTCTCAAATGTACATGGGAGAGATGAAGGAAAAATCAGCACTGAAACCAAAAGAGCATTCCAGAGAGACGACAGCAGCCTGGCTTATCCCACACACAGGAGGTACTTACAGTCCAGGTGACTGTGCCTGATGCCCTCCACGTCTTCAGCGTGGATGAAGTGGTAGCACCTCTTTCCTACAATGTCTACCGGGGTCAGATCCATATAGTCACTAATCCTACAAAGAGGAAAACACATGCTGAGTTCAGAAAGGGAAAAAAAATACACCGGCAAATAACTGAGATCTACTGTCTCATTTTTATTATACCAGGTTACGTCTGAGGACAGAGCACTCAGAGGAAAAAACCCTTTCTAGATAAGATTATTTCTTTAACGTATAACAGACTTTTTCAAAAGTAGGAAATGTGCTAGATTAAACAATTGTGTTTAAATAATTGGATCGGTTTTTCTTTTCCTTTTTTGGGGGGTACATTTAGACATAATGCCATGAAATTACTGCGAATCAGAAACAATGCAAGATCCTCATTACAGGCCAAGATAATTCAAGGTTACATAATAATATAAAAACATGTTATGTTTATACCAAATGATTAGAGACACCTTTCATTTAAACAGATTGGTCTTCTATTGGGTATTTCCATGAAAAAAGGCTTCAACTGCTTCTTGGCACAAAGTCCAAATTGGCATTTCAAGGGATATAATTTAAATGCTGAGACATACAGATGCCTGGGGGTATTATCTTTTTTAGTCTCAGTCATTTGGGAGCTCAGCTTTCACTCCTGGCCCTTTTAACTGGTACTTTGTGGTAGATTCCACACAGAAACTTTTAAACCATTTCAGCAGCACTTCCAGGCTTGTGCTCAACACTATGTGTGCGTAAGCCTCTGTCATTGATTGTCCAGACGTCAATGTCCTTAGGCAGGAGCACAGGGAAATAGAACCCAAATTGGAAAACATGTTGAGGGAATCTGCCTGGTTTACACAAACATGTCAAAATGCTTATCACCCTCTGGATTACCAAGTACAGATTCGTTTTGGTCAGTCTAAAATAAAATATATCTTTAGGTGTAATGCATTCTTGTTACTACCCCTGTGGTTTTTGTGATTTATGACATATGGGCTACTCAAATATGAAGTGAATCTTTAGAAGTGACACGTTTAAGGAACACATGAGATCACCCTTAGGGAGTTAAGTCTGGACCCCAAGGCAGGAGAATAAGAAAGAAAAATAAAAACAAGTTGGAATATAGTTAAAATACACTACCCACTGAGTGTATTTCTCAATGTCCAGCAATTTAAAAAAATAAATTTTGGCCAAACTAGAATTCTTGGTAAGGTAAGATTAATGGGGGAAATAAAAGGAGTGTTTTCTAAGGATTCTATGGTTTACTGGTACAAAATAGATGAGTTGATGTTTTGTAAAACCATTAGCTATTTTCCAAGCACAGTTTACACCCCCTTTCTGCAAATGAAGGAAGAAGGATGTCATTAAAGAGCCTCATCCATCCGTGTTTCTGAAATTTGCTAGCTCCTCTGAAAGAATTAGATGTGGGCTTTGCCTGAGGCTGTCCTAGGGAATGCAGAGAAGAACGGTCTGCAGAGTCAAGGAGCAAGCTTTAGTTTCTAGTTAACAATTCCCTAATTAAATAGTAAACCCCAGGAAAAAGCCACTCAGTTCCTTTAGGGAAGGCATTTCTTTAGTTTATTCTTTACTTGAATTAAATCCTTCAAACTGATTGAAGCCCTTCTACATATAAGAGCGTGTTACTGTGTTGAATATCACCAATGTTCAAGTATTTCTTAAAATAGGTGTAGCTAGCACCAGACCAGTGGGATGATCTGTATCAGGATCAGAATCTTGATGGCATCTTTTACTCTCAGCATCAGTTTCTTCACCTGCAAAACTACCTAGGAGGTTGATGAGAGGAATGAATGAATGGAATGAAATGGACACGGCCCAGTGCCCTGCACACTGCATGCTTTGTCTTCGGATCAAATATGCAATTAACTTTAGTGCAGGTCCTTTTCATAATTACTATCATCTTCATTTAGGAAATAATGCTGTACTGGTGTTGTGGAAAACATTTTCTTTATTTTTAATAGGAAGAAAAGTTGAAAGCAGGTCATAGAAATTGATCTCAATTACTAGAGTGGTACCATGATACAGGTCCATAGAGCTTGTTAAAAGAATTAACAAATTAATCCCAGAAATGAGAATGAAGTGATGGTTTGGCAACTGGAAGTTTGGCAAATAAGATGAGGCCCTTTCGTTTTGGAGAAAGTAGTGGTGGCAAATCTAAATCAAGAGGACTGCTCTATGTCTTCACAAAACAAAGTTATAGTCCATCCACTGACTACACATGCCCCTCTTGGTTGGATCTCTTTTTGTAGCATTCTACATTATTAATCAGCACAAACAGTGTTGTGGGCTGTAATTGTGTTCTTTCATGGTGGCATCTGAATGAAAAGTCCCTGTCACAGGTTATTCTGACTGTTCCCTTGCCATTTAGTTGGACTTCTGAAGAGAAAAGGACTCCAGGGAAAGTTAGCTAAGATCACGGGCCTTTTGAGTCTAGTAGACTTAGGTTTGAACCTTGGCTTGAGGGCAAGTCAATCAACCTTTGTCTCTAAATTAAAACTCCCACAAGGTGATGGAGACAGTGGCAGCACCTAACTCACAGAAGCTTAAATAAGATGGGCTGAGTAAACAGTACACGCACAGTAAACGCCATCATCTGTATTACTACTTGTCAACTCCAGCTAACTATTTGGGCTAAGTTGTCTTTCCTGATATTCTCTGGCCATTCCAGAATACCTTAGACATACCCAAGTATATTGTCACAATGACTGAATTTTTATTTTTTAAAAAGTTTTGCTATACGGTGTATGTGTGTGTTTGCCAGAGAGACAGAGAAAGACAGAAAGCGAGAAATAACCCTCCAGGGGAGATGGCCATGCCACAGTCCCTTCTTTTTCATTCTCCTCTCAGGATTTTAGGCACTCATGCACATGAACCCAGCCTCAGTTTCAAGCCACAGGGTCTAGGACTCAAACTGCAGTCAACCACATGGGAGTCTAGTGCCTTAACCACTATGCCACCTGCTGGCCCCAACAATGGAATTTTTAATAAATTCCAACAAGTTGAAGAGCAGATTTAGCTACTTATCAAATAATAGTAACATGTTTATGATATCATCTTCCTTACTGAACCTTCATAGCTCAGGTAGGTGTCTGTCCTAGTGGTGAATTCTTTCCTCTGAATCATTCCTGGCTGGAAATGATGGGTGGTTTAGAACTTGAGGTCCACCTTTTTAGCACTTCCCAGTAGACTGAATGCAGGTCTGTCTATCTTTCTCTTGGCTAGGCTTTGGAGAGGTCAGCGGCCCAAGCCGCTTAGCCATTCTGCTCTTCTACTTCTTCTCTGAGGACACAGGGCTCACACATTAGACTCACAACAATCTGTGCCACACGAGCATCTTCCCCAAACTGACTCAGCTATTCTCCCTGTGGCAGCAGGGGACGTTTCTAGTTAACAATTCCCTAATTAAATAGTAAACCCCAGGAAAAAGCCACTCAGTTCCTTTAGGGAAGGCATTTCTTTAGTTTATTCTTTACTTGAATTAAATCCTTCAAACTGATTGAAGCCCTTCTACATATAAGAGCGTGTTACTGTGTTGAATATCACCAATGTTCAAGTATTTCTTAAAATAGGTGTAGCTAGCACCAGACCAGTGGGATGATCTGTATCAGGATCAGAATCTTGATGGCATCTTTTACTCTCAGCATCAGTTTCTTCACCTGCAAAACTACCTAGGAGGTTGATGAGAGGAATGAATGAATGGAATGAAATGGACACGGCCCAGTGCCCTGCACACTGCATGCTTTGTCTTCGGATCAAATATGCAATTAACTTTAGTGCAGGTCCTTTTCATAATTACTATCATCTTCATTTAGGAAATAATGCTGTACTGGTGTTGTGGAAAACATTTTCTTTATTTTTAATAGGAAGAAAAGTTGAAAGCAGGTCATAGAAATTGATCTCAATTACTAGAGTGGTACCATGATACAGGTCCATAGAGCTTGTTAAAAGAATTAACAAATTAATCCCAGAAATGAGAATGAAGTGATGGTTTGGCAACTGGAAGTTTGGCAAATAAGATGAGGCCCTTTCGTTTTGGAGAAAGTAGTGGTGGCAAATCTAAATCAAGAGGACTGCTCTATGTCTTCACAAAACAAAGTTATAGTCCATCCACTGACTACACATGCCCCTCTTGGTTGGATCTCTTTTTGTAGCATTCTACATTATTAATCAGCACAAACAGTGTTGTGGGCTGTAATTGTGTTCTTTCATGGTGGCATCTGAATGAAAAGTCCCTGTCACAGGTTATTCTGACTGTTCCCTTGCCATTTAGTTGGACTTCTGAAGAGAAAAGGACTCCAGGGAAAGTTAGCTAAGATCACGGGCCTTTTGAGTCTAGTAGACTTAGGTTTGAACCTTGGCTTGAGGGCAAGTCAATCAACCTTTGTCTCTAAATTAAAACTCCCACAAGGTGATGGAGACAGTGGCAGCACCTAACTCACAGAAGCTTAAATAAGATGGGCTGAGTAAACAGTACACGCACAGTAAACGCCATCATCTGTATTACTACTTGTCAACTCCAGCTAACTATTTGGGCTAAGTTGTCTTTCCTGATATTCTCTGGCCATTCCAGAATACCTTAGACATACCCAAGTATATTGTCACAATGACTGAATTTTTATTTTTTAAAAAGTTTTGCTATACGGTGTATGTGTGTGTTTGCCAGAGAGACAGAGAAAGACAGAAAGCGAGAAATAACCCTCCAGGGGAGATGGCCATGCCACAGTCCCTTCTTTTTCATTCTCCTCTCAGGATTTTAGGCACTCATGCACATGAACCCAGCCTCAGTTTCAAGCCACAGGGTCTAGGACTCAAACTGCAGTCAACCACATGGGAGTCTAGTGCCTTAACCACTATGCCACCTGCTGGCCCCAACAATGGAATTTTTAATAAATTCCAACAAGTTGAAGAGCAGATTTAGCTACTTATCAAATAATAGTAACATGTTTATGATATCATCTTCCTTACTGAACCTTCATAGCTCAGGTAGGTGTCTGTCCTAGTGGTGAATTCTTTCCTCTGAATCATTCCTGGCTGGAAATGATGGGTGGTTTAGAACTTGAGGTCCACCTTTTTAGCACTTCCCAGTAGACTGAATGCAGGTCTGTCTATCTTTCTCTTGGCTAGGCTTTGGAGAGGTCAGCGGCCCAAGCCGCTTAGCCATTCTGCTCTTCTACTTCTTCTCTGAGGACACAGGGCTCACACATTAGACTCACAACAATCTGTGCCACACGAGCATCTTCCCCAAACTGACTCAGCTATTCTCCCTGTGGCAGCAGGGGACGGAAGGTATTTCCAAAGCTTCCTTCTCATGACTGATCTGTAGGTAGTTCCTCTCCACTGCTCTCCCCATGACCCATAATTCTCTCTTCAAGTCAGCCCAATGATAGGCTGTTGTCTTCTAGGTGAAAGGTCAGAAGAGGCACTGTCCCATTTCCTTGTCCCTTGTTTTGTACTTAATGGAAACAGGAGACTTTTTAACTAGAGGCTAAAAAGTCTTTCTATAAGTCATGAGAAAGTACTGCTAACTCATTTATATGATGAGTCATTTATTACTTATAGAAGTGAAATCCTCAGGATGACAAAGTTTTATTTAATAGTTCTGCAAATTTCTTTTTGTCCTTTATCCTCTGGGGGCTCAAATGCTCATTTGCTCTCTGTGTGCTTAATGACTGTGTGACCATGGACCATCTTGAGCTTGAGGCCAAAGCATCAGGAGATACCATTTACTGCATTGTTTTGCCAATAACATCTCAGCCCTGCTCTCTTCTTGGGTTCTCAGCCAAAATGGGTCTTCTTTATAGCATATGGATGTCTGGGTATCCCAATTCATTCAATTGGTGTCCCTAATGTAAAACAGGGCAGCAATGTAAATTTTAAATAAAAAGCATGTTTGGTGTCAGTCCAAGCAGCCATTAAAAACAAGATCAGGATTTATAATGAGCCTCATTGGGAGAGTAAAATCCTCAGACTGCCGAAAATATAAACCCTCACCAATATGCAATGTGCAACAGGGCAAATGAAAACAAAAACAAAGTACCTATTTTCACAGTAAATGATATTGAGGTCCATATTTACTCGAGTGACGAACATATGGCAGTCGATTCTGACTTCATTGATCGTAGGGGGAGGCAAGGCATGAGCAACAACCACAAGACCCATGATTTGGCTGGGGACAGTCCTCCCATGGGACAGCGACACTCTTAGGCGTAGCCGGCCTGTTATGTGAATCACCTGTAAAAGAACATTAAGTACAGGACACCAGTCAATTTACATGCTGGATATAACAGTGTTTCTTTTGAGAAATGCAGACTTAAAAATTATATCTGGAACAGCCAACATGAGTTGATATCTTCTGTAATCATAATGGCTGTCAGCATGCTCTCCGTGTCCTCATGGCAAGAGACAAAAGAGAAATAATATTACATTCTGAGCATTTCTCAAGGCAGGCTTATTATGGTTTTGTTGCTATTAAAAACAAAAACAAAAACAAAAAACAAAAAACATTTAGGGAGCATTCATAACCAGATAAAATGACCAAAAAGCTGAGTACTGAGCTGCAAAAGGAAACATTTTCATCATTATTAGGTCTTGTTAATGGAAGATGCCCATCTCTCTCCAAGTTTGTAATTGAGTGGAATTACATGGCCACCTCCTTTCAGAAGTGTGGCTCAGAGCTCTCCTTCACCCCGGGGTTATTTCAGAAGGCCTCAGACTGCTGTGAATAAAAGGCTCAGTAGCAATGACAAGAATGGGCTCTTTCGAGGAGAGCTGGTTCATGTAGGGCAGCACTGAGTTACCAGTAATGCAGTGATTCATTGCAATGCCTTATGGGGTTGACGGTCAGAGGACTTTGGCCTATGATCTGTTCCTCCAGCTCATACAAAAGTAGGGTCAGGAGACTCGTGCTGTTTAGGTGGCAGCTCAGAGGTACTTGCCCACAACCAGGAAGAATAATACTGGGCTGTCATTTTTTGTTTCTTAATCAAAGCATACCAGGCAATCCAGAACTGAACAAGCCCTTGCTTATAAATTGTGCATAGAAGAAGAACTATAGTGCCAAAGTGTACTTCTGATGCTCTGGGTACACAAATGAAAACGGGTGAAAAATATGGAGCATCGGTGTGGCTATGCTTTAGGAGGATGAAGTAGGGTGTGTGTGTGTGTGTGTGTGTGTGTGTGTGTGTGTGTGTGTGTGTATTCTAGCTGTGTGATCCATGGACCCCGCAAGGTCATAGAGGTGACTGGTGTGATCCACTGTGCCACGGAGCCCAGTTTAGCAGCTAAATGTGTTTCCACATTAGCTTTTTGCCTATCCAAATGCATCACTGAGTCCAAGCCATCTTTTGAAATTCTACTTTTCCCTCTTTGCCATAGGAACTGAAACGGGAAGTCGGTTGGTTTCCTCCCAGGAACAATATGATCTAGTGTCTGCTCTCTTCCCCAGGGGCTTGACTAGCAATTCCTTTTCCATTTTATTTTTGTTTCTCTTAAGTTATTCAATTTTCCAAAAGCCAGCCACACTACTGTCAGTCAGGAAGCAGGATCAAAGCTTATGGGGCTGCCCTTCGGATTCCTAGCTGTTCTAAATAATACCTCTTCCCGGTCACCCTTCACATTTGCGCCCAGAGCTGCAGGTCTGGAAACACCAATGAGGAGGATTATTTAGGTTATTTCAGCAGCAGCTTTCCGACCACCCACATTTGAAGTTGACTAAATTCATACTTAATGCACCTTTGCTTTAAGCTTTGGTCAGATGAGCTACTTTATGAATATTTGAAAATGTTCCTAGAGGCAAGGATGCTAAAACACCATCACAGACACACATTTTTGCAAGACCTCATTAACTAATAAAGAAATAGCTAAAAGAAATGGGATTAACTTCACAGGAGGGGTGTTAGCAGTCCCTCGTCCTCCTCCCAGCTAGGCTTACATAGATGCTCATTTATCATTATCTGTCTTGTTTTATCAGGAACACTCAGCTTCTTGGAAAAACACGGATCTATAAATGCTTGAGAAAATACACACCCAGAAATGATATGCTAAATGAATCTTCACTTGGTATTTTATTCTAAAGCAATTTAAGGGCATCTGGGCCAGTAAATGTTTGGGGAAGGCAGATCTGGGGAATCCATGTGTATGTCAGATTTATCCAGCCTCTGATCTCCAGCTTTGCTGGTGGGCACTGTGGAAGTGTGTCTAAGTGGGTCCATCAGGGGGCCTAGACTTGCAAGTTTGTAATTCTGTTACTCTGGCAAATCACTCAGCCTCTGTGTGTCTCAATTTCCTTTTCTGTGAAATGGGGATAATAGTATTCTACAATTATGATAATCAAAGGATGAGCGAAGGTGAACACTATAAAGGATTCTACATATTTACTATAACATCAAGTTTGCCTTTAAAAAATACCAACCAAATAAGGATAAATACCAGGTATTAATATTTTCAGAGAAATTTTTGCTATAGGGTACATGTGTGAAGGAGACCAACAGAAGGTGAGAAGTCACTCTCCACTGGGGAGGGCCATGCCGCAACCCCTTCTCCTCTGTTCTCCTCTTGTGATTTTGGGCACACAGACCTGTCTGGTTTTTAAGCTGATGGGTCCTGGACTCAAACTACGGTCAACTACGTGGGAGTTCAGTGACGTAACCAGTACGCCAACTGCTGGTCCCAACCAGATATTAATTTATTGTTGACCAAGAACCTAATAAATGACTATTTTAATGGACATTTCTTATTTGGAATAAAATTTGAAAGTCTTAGTTTCCTCTCCCTTTGATTTTCTGGGTAAAGAAAGAGACTGGAAAATTCATGCCCTGTCCAAAGTCACCTCAGATGGAAGTGGCAAAGAGAGCTTGGACCCTAGGTTTCTGGTTCGTATGTGTCATTTCTACTTGATGCTTATACATACTTTATATGCATATTCATGATAAACAAAACATTAGATGTGTATACCAGATGTGAAGTTGTTACCTTAAGTAAACATGTATGAACCTTTAAAAAAATTTACAGGAGGTTATTTTAAAAGTCTTTGAGACCAGCAGATGACATAATGGTTATGTTGCTGGACTCCCACATAGTTGAGTTTGAGTCCCGGACCTGACAGCTTAAAACTCATGCTGGGCACCTGTGCGTGTGTGCTCAAGATCCCAAGAGGAGAATAGCAAAGAAGGGATTGTGGCATGGCTGTCACCCATGGGGAGTGATTTCTTACTTTCTGTCTTTCTGGTGAATGCACATGCCCTACAGCAAAAAAAAAAAAAAAAAAAAACCCCCCCCCAAAAAAAAAAATTTTTTAAAAAAAAAAAAAAAAAAAAACCCCCCCCCAAAAAAAAAAATTTTTTAAAAAAAAAAAAAAAAAAAAACCCCCCCCCAAAAAAAAAAATTTTTTAAAAAAAAAAAAAAAAAAAAACCCCCCCCCAAAAAAAAAAATTTTTTAAAAAAAAAAAAAAAAAAAAACCCCCCCCCAAAAAAAAAAATTTTTTAAAAAAAAAAAAAAAAAAAAACCCCCCCCCAAAAAAAAAAATTTTTTAAAAAAAAAAAAAAAAAAAAAACACCTCTGCCAAAAAAAAAAGTCTTTGAGAAGCAATACAAACTAATAAGAAGAAAACCAAGATTATTAACAATGCAGTAACCAAATAGTTGTCAAGAAATGTCAAAGAACAATCAGAGGGTGTGTTTGTCTTGTCTGTATGTATGTCTGGGGATGAGGGAGGGTGGGACTGAAGAGAAGAAAGATCTGTTAGATCCCAAAATTAGGTTTAAACTACCGTATTTTTTCCAAATTCATTTCATAATGCCAACAGAGCTCTTTTCCCTATGTGACAGGTTATATTCAAATTTTAGAAACATGTCTGACAGTATATATGCAAACATGTAGATAGCTGAATTTTTCACTTTGGAATTGCCTGTAAGGCCTAAGATGTAGAGGAATGAGTATTGTCAAAAGCTAGGGTTTAAATTCCTAGCTGTATGATTTTTTTTTTAAGTTTATTTTTTTGTGAGCAAGAGAGAGAGAGAGCAAGAGGAAGCTACAGGCATCCCCATCAGGGTCTTCTTCATGACATGGTCCTCATACAGCCTTAGCCAGCCTCAGACCATGGGCACACATGCATCTGGGATGTTCAAGGCAGTCTCTGGAGGTGACTCCAGAACCTTTTCATGTAGGTCAGCCTCTCAGAGTATTAAGTCACTACTGTGCCATGGCCCATGCCCCATTGCTATATGTTAATAGCCAAGCAACTATGATACTCAGAGCTGAAATGACATGCTTTGTTCCCAGGTCAATATATCAGAGATTAAAAACCTAATACCAAGAGAATATGTACTCTGCAGGTGGGTTTTTTCATGATAAGGTTAACAAAAAGCATTTTCTTGATTCTTTAGTTTTTAAAACATATTATGTACAAGCGCTCTTGCTAGGTCTAGGGTGAATCAAATGTAAACCCGTACTGAAAGTTTACACTCTACAGTGGAGGAAGATTTTTAATTATTTTCTAATGTGGTAGGAATAGACTGAACCTCAGCATTGATTTGTGTTTTAAAGTTGCAGAGATGATAAAAACTACTTGAGACTATCTGGCTAACAGGTTTGGAGTAACACCAGTGGATTTCGGTCTTGGCTACATTGGAATCACTCCAAGAATCTTTAAAGATGCTCATGTCCAGGTTGTACCTGACATCAGTTAAATATGTATCTCAGGGGGTGGGGCACCGGCATCAACATTTATGTATGTCTTGCAAATTTTCCAGGTCTGACAGGGCTGCCGATAGGATTAAGTGATAACGAATATCCAGTGCCAGATACTCAGCAGATTTGAAATGCCTGGTATAGCCTGGCCATGAGGACTTTCAAAGACTCCATACAGAATAAGATGCTCAGGAATTTAGGGTAGGAAGAATTTGGTGAATGAGTCAGAAAGGCTATACGAACTTGTCCCATCAGTTGACATAAGAAGTGATCATAGAATTGGGAAAGGAGTTTTCTGGGAGGAGAACTAGAACCAAAGAATGGAAAAGGAATTCAGAAGTCCAGGGTTCCAGGAACATTTCAGTTGGTGTCAGCAGAAAAGTCAGAGAAGGGACCAAAATGGCCCAGACGATGAATAGAAATCCATGGTGGGACCTGGGAGAAGAGGTAACACCAAGGCTTTACACCTGTCTCACAGGATGATGATGGCAACAGACCACGTAGTAATGCAGAAACTGCTGACTAGTGCGGGAGGAAGATGATT